GCTGATCCTTATACCATAATTCTTAAATTTCTTATCGTGTTTATTTTTTACCTGTCGATAAACTCTCATACATCTCATTCGCCATAGCTTGAAGCTTAAGGATTTCGAGCTGCAGAAAAGATTTGCATAATTCTGATCTTGATTCTTTTTAATCAGTGCGCCTTTAAAAGGTTTCTCTAAGTAATAATTAATTATAATTAAAAGCATACTCATGCAAATCTTGTCCGTAGCCTTGTTCATAATCTGGATAGAAGACTGCCACAATAAATCGCTAATGGATTCTTCAATACAGTTTTTATTCAACTTTACTTGAGGATTTATTAAAATGACCACGCATTAAAGGTATGATGAAATGTGTACACTAGTCTATTGAGGACGACTCTCCAAAGACGTCACTCTCATTTCTACCACGTTTTAAGTCCTATGAACTCCGGTCGATCAGTTAATTGCAGTTAATCCTGCATCGGTTTAATGGTGGCAAATTCTTGAATTATGTCCAGTCAACTTTTTATTTGGAATGAAATACCGAGTCGTAATTGTATAATCTTGTTTGAAAATTCTCAACTGAGTAAATAATCGTATTAGTCTTCTATTATTGATGTAATAAACATTGTTCTTTTTGCTGAACTCAGACGTTTAGGCCTAAATATATATGATTTTATATATACATACATAAATACACATGTAAATATTTTGGTATGTATGTATGTATATATATAGTTATTTATATTTTTTTAAATATATATATACAAATATATTTACATATGTATTTATGCATTTTGTATAATAATATTCAAATAATAAGGTCTAAAAGTCTGAGTGTATATAAATATTTATATATATACGGTATTAAGAATGATTTTTTATTTGTAAGTAGGCTTTCGAGACCACCATTATTTTATATATATAAGATGTGTTTACCCTATTTATTTTAAGGTGATGAAGGGCTGGTAGTCGAATTTCCTCAAAGTAAGATGAGTAGATCTTACGTTTCCATTAAATTTCACATAGCCTTGCTTCCCAAAAGGTATTCTTAACCAGGGTAAAGCGCAGTTTCGAAGCAGGTCTATGTGAAAATCAGTGTATACCAAAGGTCTACTTACCTGATTTTAGGAACATTCTATAGTCCCATTATCACTTTTAACGAATGACGTGAAAACATCTCATATTTAAGAATGATCATATGATCTAATGATGATAGTTATTTGACAGAAGAAAGCTTAGGACCTTTCCACCGGAATCGAAGGAGATTGCCTCGGAGGCAAAGTCAACAAGAATGCTTTTAAAAAAAATAACCGTCAGCCGGCCATCGTCTTCTGATGGGATTGACCATTAAAGCTCTTCCTGGAAATTTTTCGTTCGAAATGGAATTGAGCTCAACAATATTTATAGTCTGGAGTCTAGGAAACACGTGACGGCTGCTAAAAACACTCTTGTCCTAGCTCTTGTTATAATTTATTTATGCATTACTCAATATTTGTTCCTTTCTTATTTTTAATCTGAATAGACAACATGCACTTGTATTATCAGCCGCAAATGTTCATTAATCTGAAACCCTACATACCAACAGAACAAGCTAATGCGATCATTGTAAATGCCTATATGCGCTTAATTTACATCAAACTGTCGGTTAGTATTATATCAAAAATTTCTCAAAACAAAAATCTAAATAAGATAATATACTTACGTTGTTCATCAGGAAGTTTTGACTTTCCTCGTCGCGAATACGTTAGTCTGGAATCTCAGCTTTGGACGAAAGTGCTTTTCTCATCAAAATCGTGTGAAAAAGCCATTGGTGAATTGATAAATTGGTCAATATGGTCGTAGCTCCTGTAGAGACGATGTTTATTGAAGATGAGAAATGGGGAGGACGCTTCTTCCAATTTCTGTCAAATACGCACATCCTGGCCGGATCAGTGCGCCATTTGACACTTTCGGTCTGGTTTTCAACCTCCGCGGATGGTGCGCAGTTGAAACGGCCCTTTAAGGATACTGGAGTCTCAGGGAGGAGAATCGGCTTGTAGAGTTGCGGAGGAGAGGCATGGCAGCAGGTCGTTGATACGAAGAAAAGTATTTGTACCCTTTGTTGGGTTGCTAGAGAACTGTGTGTTTCTTTTTAATCAGCATATTTGCCCTATTGAGTTATGGCTTTGCGGGCCTATGGTATGATGTATCTACATAGTCTCTCACCAAAGTGCGAATTTAGGGAATACACTAATCTTCGATCCCGTTTAGATGCCAAAGTGAAGGGATCTTCTTTCGTAGTGACTGTTAGATTGTTCAATACACCTCTGGATAAATATATTTTCTCAGTACAAATGACTCAGATTAGTAAATTTAAGTTAAAATACAACAAAGATGACAAAAGCCCTGACCAACGAAAGGGAATCAGGCTGACCTGTTTGTGCAAAGTCCCATTTGATTTCCGAATTCGTGGGTCTGACAGACAATTTGTGTAGGGCTGAACTTGGCCCATAAATCTTCTGCACCAGAAACCAGCTGGAATAAGGGATCTAAACTGGTCATTAAAAGTGAATATTTCATCACATTTCGTGGTAAGAAATGCCAATTAAGCATTACCACAAATTAGAGTAAACATTATTTGGATTATGTAGGATCATTCGCCAAATCATTGCATGCTGAAGGATTGATAGACGAGGAAACTCCATCCTAAAGTGTAAACAATTTTACAAAGTGGAAATAAAATAGGAACTATTAAATACATTTAATCTGCTTCAACCACTATAGATATACCTTTGCGAGAACGATTGCCGTCATTAATCTAAATGATACCATAAGACTTAACAGATTACATAAAGAAGAGACTTCAGGTCCGCAATGAATTGCTTATTATGATTGCCTAAAAACAGACACAGGTTTGGTTTGGTCGAATAGCCTGTGGGCTAAACCCAGATCCTTCCATTTGCCCAGGCAATTCTGGTACCGGCACTGAAAACCTTCTACAGGCTTGGCAACTGATCTCCCTAAAATATGGGACACACTATTTTTGGGAAACCTGTTTTAA